TATATATATATATATATATATATATATATATATATATATATATATAATTAGTTCTCATGGAGGTTTGTTGTCATTTAATGTCCACTTTTTTTCCTGCAATAGTTTACTTGAATGTTATTCCAGCTATTTGTTTATATTTAAACTCTGAATGTTAATTTCAGCGCCCAGAAAAGCAAAGCAGAAGAATCCTCAGTAAAACAAGTCCCTGAAGGGCAGCAGTATGCTAGCAAGGTAGCACAAAGAGGGAAGTCCATGGAGGAGCTTGGTGTATCAAAGTTAAATAAACTGCCAGCCCTCAGTAAAAGCTCTGAGCAGCTGGATCAGCTAAGGAGAAATTCAAATCGGCTTGAAGGAACAGAGAGACATGAGATATGCTTTGTTGAAGAAAGAGAAGCTGCCCGGCGAGTGAAACGAATGGAAAAAGAACCTGAGGTTGTTGGTCAGAAGAACACTCAGGAACAGATCCAAACCAGAAGAAAGCCCCTGATAAAGCAGAGCTCTGAGCCTGGAGAAGACGCATCAGGAGGAGAAAGGAGTTCCAGTAGATCCAACTCCCCAACCTTCGCTGCCTCTTCCCATGTCAAAGTTTGCTCTTCTCCTGGGTTTCAAGCACCCATTATTACTGAACTCGGGTCCAATAGAGCTCTCAATGAGAATTTTTCTAACCCGCTCTCCCCCAGAGGTCAAAAGATCAGTGAAAGTGAGAAAAAACCCTCCTCATCCATACGGTCAAAGATGACTTGTGAAAACACGCCTTGCTCCAGGTAAGAGTATTTTTTGTTGTCTTCTCACTGTCGTCATTTTATGTGGCGTCCTTCAGAGTATCAAGTTCTTTGTAAGAGTTTTTTATGATTCTGCTAACCTAATTAAAATTAACCGAAATGTTTCCTGACTTCCTAATTATTTGTTTAATTTCCATTAGACCTGGAACTTCTACGTCTGGATCGGAAAGGGAGAAGTCAGTGGATGAGCCCAGCAGCGATGCTCAACCACCTCCTTCCAAAAATGAAGTCTCTCTGAGCTGCGGTGTCACCACCGATCCTTCGCTGTGGCTTCTCCCGCCAGGAGATGACAACGAAGAGGAAGTCCAGACTTCGCTACCATCAGAGGTCTTTAACGAGTCCGTCAGCGCAGTCCTTCAGAAACAGACAAGTGAAACCTCTGCATCTCCCTGCACGTCCGTCTCTGATGCAGACGTCAGTCAGCAGGTGGAAAAGCAGAACAGTCCAGAAACAGAAGCTGAGATCTTGGAAAAAAGGGACGAAATGGAGGAGAGGGGAGCACCAGAGGGAGAGACGGAGACCCTGGACAGGCCCGTCAAGGAACCTAAGTGGGAGGAGCTTGTGGAGGCAGTGGTCAAAGCTGATCAGTCATTGGCCAGGGTGCTCTGTCCGCTGGCTCATCGTAAGACGGCGCTGATGCTGATGGAGCAGCTGCTGTCAGAGGACACGCTGCTGATGGAGGAGCACTACAAGAAGAAACAGGAGCAGAAAGGAGCTACAGAAAGGTGAATTTAAACGTTGTCACATGACAAAATGTTAAATCCCACAGAGGCATTCCCGGATGATGGTGTCATTAGAGTCAGCAAAAAAGGAGACGTACTTAATTTTTTTTCTCAAAATTTTCACTTTCCATTATTCCGATTGGCAGTTATACTCTACATACAGCTCTAGTTTGAATAATAGTTAACTACTTTATTGTCATGCTCACATTTCAATCTATTTTAAGCAGCATGAAGTTGAAAATGCAGACGAGGACAAGTAAATAAAGATGGGTGGTATAATGTTTTCAAGAAACTTCACCCAGGTTTCTGATAGCTCAAGAACTGATCTCCACCTGGGTTGCATTACACTTCATTACATCACATGCACAGACACACCTGCTTATTTGCTTACTGCTGCTCATTCACTGGGATGTCTGTTTGGTAAGCTAATACAAAGGCAGGGTGCACTTCCTTTTTATTCTGTATTATTTTAACACCCATGGGGTCCTTTTCGTACGGTAAATTTCTTTAATGGAAAGTACAGTGCATGACTCCTTGAGCAAGATTTACTCCAGTGCATGTTTTGCCTGGTTCAACTAAGTTGTCTTGACACAAACATGTTTTATTTTTCTGTAGCACTGAACTGACTGAAGCATCTGCATCATCTTCTTGTCTTCCTGCTTCTGACAACCAGAAGTGTGAGTGTTCAGACGAGTTAAACATGACTGACATCACTGACAAGAAGGTAATTATTAATTAAATTAAACCAGTGTGGGTGGTATCTGTTTAAACTGTTGTAAAAAAAAATAGTGAGATTTGGTTATTTCAAGGTGTTCTTGAGCTCTTTTTATCCAAAAATGTTTGTCTCGTAATTTACTTGAAACCGAGTATCTAGTTTTTTCTTGACTGAGTATTGCGACAAACATGATCCCAAATCTCAAAATGCTGTTGCAATATTAATTTTGGTGTGTTCTTGTTTTTTCTATCTTTGTTTTTGTGACCAGTCTAAATTATTGCCACTTCATAAACGAAAGACTTACTCACTTATGTCGACTTTGTGGCATTTGCAGTAAAAAAAAAAAAAAAAAAAAAAAAAAAGTGCTTAATTTGAGCCAGATCCTGCCGGAATAGGATCCAGAACTCTCTTATTTTGACAGGATATGTTCCATTACCTGTTTGGTTGGATCCGGTAACTCTCAGGCTTACTATTAATAAAGTTAGGAACAAAAATATGACTGCCTTGAACGAATAAAACCTATATTGGATATGCAATCTGAAAATAATTACATAAACACTAATTTTAAACATAACAGCTACTTACGAGCTTCCTAATATCACATACCAGCTGCCCCTTCAAGGAAGCATTTCTGCTTCTACCCTTAAAAAAATCTACACCCCTGAAAGTACAGTCATGGGCAATATAATTAAAAACACAAAAATATAATTGAACAGCACAACTAAATTGCAAATCAGTTTTACAGTTTAAGTAGGTCATTAATAAAATTTTGATTATTTATTAAAAATACGAGAGAAAAGTTTGATGGGTAATCATGTGACGTACATCACGTTTCAAAACAACGGTGCAAATTTGTTAAAATAACTGCGATCAAAATGTCGAAATGACAAATCCATTTTACTTTCATTAAAAAAAAATAAGACTTCTTATTTCACAATAAAACAACCGAGAACTGATGCACATGAAGGCAGTGGCAATGGAGATAAACAGGTCTCTCCTGAAATTGAGTCCTTGTGACTCAATGAGACTAACCTGTATAAATAAAGGTTGAATAAAAAAAGATGGTACTTGACGTGGGGGGTAGGATGATTGAGAGAAGCGGAGCTGCTCTGTTCACACGAAGGGAGTTGGTCATGTTGCTCTCTAAAATAGTTACTGAATCAAGTGTTTACATGTGTAGGTAAATGTAGATGTTTAACAACCCTTTAAAATACACCAGAATGCAGGAAATGGCATCTACTTTATTCAAATTTTTCTGGGGGAGGATCCCCACCCCGGCTATTTGCATTCCAGCATCGTTTGGTTTAGAAATTAAGCCCTGGATTACAATCCAAAACCAGTCATTTCAGCTACAGTTTGAACTTTCCTTTTCTCTTCTAGAACAGGTGTTGTATCAGTACCATCTGTATGCTCTCTGGCCTTAAGAGGATTCAAGCACAGATACTTGTCTCATCACATGATGAACTCTCTGCCTCTTATCAGTGTCTCCAACGTGTCTAATGTTTGGCTTAGAAAGTAACCCTCCTTTTTCTTTCTTAATGCCCTGCAGAGCTTCTCCTGTAGCAGCATATCTTTAGCCATAATCCTGTAAAAATGTCAGAGTATCAGAACTTGTTAACCTGCAGTTTGAAATACAGTCCTAACACCCCTGTTTGCCCCGGTTTAATCACATTCTGTAACATTTCTCCTCTGTTTTCAGCATTTATTAATGTCTTGTATAAAAGAGCGTCTGAGTTCACTGGAGGAGTCTCGTGGAGCCCTGCAGATGGAGGTTGAGGAGAACACAGCCCGTGGGGAGGCGCTGAAGCTGCTGGTGCGTGACCTCTGTCAGCCAGTGGAGATGGAACGGTACAACCTGTTTATAGGAGACTTGGAGAGGGTGGTCAACCTGCTGATGTGCCTCTCTGCCCGGCTGGCCAGGGTCCAGAATGCCCTGAGCATCGTGGACCAGCACACAGATGCTGAGGAGAAGGTGGGAACTGAATCCTTTGTTTTTTCTGTTTATAGGCACTGGAAATTCAATTCAATTCAAAAGTACTTTATTAATCCCAGAGGGAAATTAAATAAGGACATAAAGGGCAAAAATAATGGAGATCACATAAAGGAGATGGGTTCAAGAGTGCGTGAGCAACACTGTGTATCAGTTGGGAAATAATTGATTCTCTCATTTTATTCAACGAACTTTGTGTGAAATTATTATAAAACGAGAAACCTATCTTTTATGAGATTTAAAAATGAACTCAGTTTTGATAAAAATCTACTAATGCCCGCTATCGCACCATGTCCTGATCAAATTATTCAGAATCACAAGGCTCAAAAGCTGTTTGCTCTCACTCGCACGCTACAGTGTGTATGTGTAAACTGTCCGCGAGTGCTCCTGGGGACACGTTGCATAACCTTCCAGATGTCTTGATTTACAGCAGCTCTGTCAGAGCTTCTGGATAAAGACAAACTCGAGCGTAGAAGCGCGTGTCACTCTGGTTCGGTTTATTTTAGTGCAACAAACACACCACTCTGAGAAAGCTGAAGGGCAACTTTAATGGAGTCAAGGTTTCTAACTGAGGAATGTCAGAAATGCTGCTGGTTTTATCTGCGTTTATTTACCAATTTTGAGCTTATCTGTGGTCTACATTATTAGACATCTGAAGATGAATTTAGATAAATTATAGTTTTATAGTTTTTACATATAGCATTACACATTGTGACAATGGTACATAAGCATTTTTCTTGTGTGTACTAGATCTATTGAAAAGTGATTATTCGTGATTTGTCCTGGTTCATCTTAGTATGTTCATTAGTGTTTACTCTACAATTGGCCTCTAATTTGACTGAGATAGGATCTTTATCTTTTTTCAATATCTCATGTGGTTGCACCTGTCAGTATTTTCAGCATCAAAAATTGTTTGTATGGATGCATGACATTTGTTGATTTATCCCTGAAGGAGCTCTTTATTTGGACTATTAATGATGGCAGAGCACGCTGCATGCAAGGGCTTATTAGAGGCTATTTGTGTTCTTGCTGTTATCAGCATCACTGGTATTTACACTGACTCACCGAAACTCCAGCCCAGTTTCGATTACATTTGTATCTACCCTGCCCTCTGTTGACTTAACCACTCACTGCAGCTACTGTCCAGAAGCTGAAATACGATCTCTAATCAATTTCAATTTAATCAAAGAAATCCTCTAAAAAGTGCACACAAAATCAGGATTTCTTTAAAAACTCCAACCTTTTGCCCTAGAGGAGTATAAAATATAATATTTTAGCCATATTAGATATAATTTGAAAAAAGATTTTCTGCAAAAGTGCAGTGTGAACGCTGAGTGCTAAATTAATATCTTAAAATTAACCCAAAACACTGAAACTAAGTTTGTTAAAGTGAAAATAAGCAGAACAATTGTTCAGGTTAAAAGAAGACAAAATTAGCTAAAAGCTTAAAGAAATTAAACTAACCAGAAGTATCATACTGCTAGCTAAAAACTCTAAAAGTAGCAAAATGCTAGTTAAAAATGACAAAGCTTAGCAATAAGCTAAAAGTACCAAAACCTTAGCTATAAGCTAAAAGTAGCGAAAGGTTAGCTGGAAGCTAAAAATAGCTAAAGGTTAGCTAGAACCTAAAATTAGCTAAATGTTGGCTAGAAGCTAATTGAAGCAAAAGGTTGGCTAGAATCAGAATAAACTTTATCATTGTACCGAGATACAATGAGTAATTGAAGCCAAAGTTTAGCTAGAAGCTAATTGTAGCAAAAGGTTAGCTAGAAGCTAATTGTAGCAAAAGGTTGGCTAGAATCTAATTGAAGCAAAAGGTTGGCTAGAAGCTAATTGAAGCAAAAGGTTGGCTAGAAGCTAATTGAAGCAAAAGGTTGGCTAGAAGCTAATTGAAGCAAAAGGTTAGCTAGAAGCTAATTGTAGCAAAAGGTTAGCTAGAAGCTAATTGTAGCACAAGGTTAGCTAGAAGCTAATTGTAGCACAAGGTTAGCTAGAAGCTAATTGTAGCACAAGGTTAGCTAGAAGCTAATTGTAGCAAAAGGTTAGCTAGAAGCTAATTGTAGCAAAAGGTTAGCTAGAAACTATTTGTAGCAAAAGGTTAGCTAGAAGCTATTTGTAGCAAAAGGTTAGCTAGAAGCTAATTGTAGCAAAAGGTTAGCTAGAAGCTAATTGTAGTAAAAGGTTAGCTAGAAGCTAATTGTAGTAAAAGGTTGGCTAGAAGCTAATTGAAGTAAAAGGTGGGCTAGAAGCTAATTGAAGCAAAAGGTGGACTAGAAGGTAGATGGAGCCAAAGGTTGGCTAGAAGCTAATTGTAACAAAACGTTAGCTAGAATCTAATTGTAGCAAAAGTTAACTAGAAGCTAATTGTAACAAAAGGTTAGCTAGAAGCTAATTGTAACATACAGTTAGCTAGAAGCTAATTGTAGCAAAAGGTTAGCTAGAAGCTAATTGTAGCAAAAGGTGGGCTAGAAGCTGATTGTTGCAAAAGGTTAGCTAGAAGCTGATTGTTGCAAAAGGTTAAATCGAAGCTAATTGTAACAAAAGGTTAGCTAGAAGCTAATTGTAGCAGAAGCTTAATTAGAAGCTAATTGTAGCAAAAGGTTAGCTAGAACCTGATTGTAGCAAAAGGTTAGCTAGAAGCTAATTGTACTAAAAGTTTAGCTAGAAGCTAATTGTAGCAAAAGGTTAGCTAGAAGCTAATTGTAGCAAAAGTTTAGCTAGAAGCTAATTAATTGTAGCAGAAGCTTAATTAGAAGCTAATTGTAACAAAAGGTTAGCTAGAAGCTAATTGTAGCAAAAGGTTAGCTAGAAGCTGATTGTAGCAAAAGGTTAGCTAGAAGCTGATTGTAGCAAAAGGTCAGCTAGAAGCTGATTGTAGCAAAAGGTCAGCTAGAAGCTAATTGTAGCAAAAGGTGGGCTAGAAGGTAATTGGAGCAAAAGGTTATCTAGAAGCTAATTGTAACAAAAGGTTAGCTAGAAGCTAATTGTAGCAGAAGCTTAATTAGAAGCTAATTGTAGCAAAAGCTTAGCTAGAAGCTAATTGTAGCAATAGCTTAATTAGAAGCTAATTGTAGCAAAAGCTTATCTTGAAGTTAAAAGTAGCAAAAGGATGGCTAATGGCTAACGGGAACAAAAGTCTAATTTTAAATAAATTACAATTAGAAGCTAGTAGTAGTAAAAGAATGCTAAAATCATCAAAAGGCTAAAGAAAAATAACAAATACCTGGCTAAAAGGCCCATAAGGCTAGCTAAAAATATCCTACAATAAAATGGAGCCAGATCCAAGTTTCAAATAGAAAAATATTTTTGAAAGAGTTGAAAATATAACTAAAGTTTAAATTCTTCCCAAATAAAATAAAAAAATAAATGAAATCATAGGTCACCAGAGTGAGCTAAACGTTTTGAAGTATAGTTAAAATAGCATAAAGTATACAGAAGCAGGTTACAAAAAAATGTATGGGGGATGGGGACAGGAAATGAATAAATGATGCTTGAATATGTTGAATCAACCTTCACACAGTAAAGTTTTGAACCCTCTCGTCTCCACACAGGAGTCTCTGGACAGCCGCCACCGTCTGCTGAGCAAACAGAGGGAAGATGCTAAAGATCTGAAGGACAACCTGGACCGCAGGGAGAACCTGGTCTCCACCTTCCTGTCCCGACAGCTGTCTGCCGAGCAGCTGCAGTCCTACCGCCACTTTGTCCAGACCAAGGCCTCGCTTCTCATCCGGCAGAAGGACCTGGAAGAGAAGCAGAAGTTGGGAGAGGAGCAGCTCGAGGCTCTTTCCAACAGCCTCAGTCTGTGAAAGGATGAGGAAAAAATGAAGGAAGAGGACTCGTTTAAAAACATCCGACTGTTATTTGATAAACTTTTCACTCTTAGTTTGCCTGATAGAGGTCAGGTGGATCACTTCAACCTGTAGGACTCAATCGTGGAAATAAAATAATAGCCCTTTTAAAAAGAGCTTGACAAAACCTGCTCTCCGTTCTGAATAGAGCAGGAATGTCTGCTAGGACTGGAGTTCTGAGAATGTTTCCACTCAGCGAGGTCCACACAATCAGCAATGTGCTTTAAAACTTGTCATGATTGAACCTTTTCTTCCCCTCGGAACGAAACTGAACTGTGCCTTTTATATATAAATATTGTAGCTGTTGAACATTTTGTCTTAGAGCTGCTGTGCAGAAAACTTTTAACAAGTTGGGACTTTCACTTTTAGCCCTGCAGCCTCCCCTGTAGAAACCTCCTATGAGCTTTAAGAGTGCATCTGAGAAGACATGCCTGAGGGTGGTCTACTGTTTCCTGTCAGTAAAGTGTACTGTACGTGGTCATGGGTTTTTTTTTTTCCCCCGAATGGTCTTATTTTCAAATGTTTTTCAAATGATGGCACTAATAACCAAAAAAAAAAAAAAAAGGTGAATGGAACAAAGCACTTTGTGAAGATGCACATTTCTTCAAAACCGATTCTGAAGCATTTTGAAGTTAAAGCCTTACTCCATCCATTTAAATGTCACCTCTTTACATTCATTTTTACAGAACAGTTTTTAAAGGTACATTAAAACACATAAAGAACCAAATTCATTTAGTTTTCCAGCTGCTTTCATGCTTTAAGTCTTAATGATTTCTTCCTGAGACTGTTCCTCACATGGAGGTGCTAAACCTCTCTCAAGCAGATTATTAATAAGGAACATTACTGAGTACTCCCTCCCCTCTGTGTGTATTTGTTGCAGAAGTAGCATGTAAAACTTGAAACACTTTATTAGAATACGTCTAATCTTCACATTAGGTGTCAAACTATTTTAAAGTTCTTACGGAGCATCAAGAATGCAGAGCTCGGCGTTCCAACACAGCATTTGTGAAACCTCTTCTAGACCAGGGCTATTCAACTGGTGGCCCGGGGGCCAAATCAGGCCCACAGGTGAGCTCTGTTCGACCCACCAGTGGGTTCATTTTAAAATAAAACTAGATTTTAAACTGTCAAACTAATTTACTTAATGATAATGATTGCTGGATGTCCGGCCCCTGAGCTCTTAGCTTTCAGTAACTGTGGCCCCATGAGCAATTTAGTTGAATAGCCCTGTTCAGTTTACCGTTTCAACTTAACCTGCAAACTTTACTCAACAGTGTGTTTCACCGGTGTTTGACTTCGCAATGAATACCTTTTGAGTAATAGGCCTGTCGCGATAATCAATAAATCAATTAATCGCATGATAAATGAAAATTATCGACCTTGTTTTCGTTTGTCGGCTTTATCGTTTCTTCGCGTCTCTTTCTACTGAAGACACTGGATGACAAAAAGCTCGACTCCGGTGCTCTTCACTGACCCCGCCCTTTCTCTTTTTCTCGTTAAAATTTGTTTTAACCGTCCAAAATCGTGTTTTTGAATCGTTAAAAGCAGCTAAGCTGAGAAGCTAAGCTATGAGCTAAGCTAACAGGCCGACCTTGGGGAAGAAACCTCCGTCTTGTCGAAGCTCCAAAATTCACGGTTGAAACCTGTGCCTTTGTGTAAAAAGTTGTTTTTCTCCGAAAAAAAAAAAGAAGCTGAGAACTGTTTTTTTTTTTTTTTTTTTTTAATAGCTTTGTGTGAAAAATGTTATGCTAAAGAGCTCAAACCACACTGAACGTCCGCCATTTTGAGAACCGAAAAAAGGAAGGAAAGACGGCCCATGGTCAAATTTGACAATAATTACTAATTGTTGTCAAATTTCAAACAATATTATCGTTTATCGCAATAATTTCTGAGACAACTAATTGCCCAGCAACATTTATCGTGACAGGCCTATTGAGTAAAAACATGTTTGTTTCAACTCTATTTGTAATTGGTTAGTGCTTCCATGATTCTCTGACATCATAACAATAATAATAATAATAAGTGCATCGTATGTATGTTCCCATACAATGGCAAAATCAGTTCTCTGCATTTAACTCATCGCACCTGGGACACCCAGGTGGAGCAGTGGGCAGCTATGTCGGCGCACGAGGATGCAGCGTCAAAGATGCATTCAGATCTTGATGCTCCCTCTGCGTTTGGGCAAAGTTGAAACTTTTTTCTGAAAATGATCTGTTGGCTGTACCGTGTGACGGATGGTCCCTAAACTTATCAAGCATCAAAAACCATGAATGCATCCAGCGTACTCCGACTTTCTTCCACCCCAAAAGATTTCCCGTTTTTCTGCATCTCTTCCACCAGCGTTGAATCATTTCAGTGGCGTCTCCGTCCGTCTCAGTTTGTTAAACAAATGTGTGCTTGTCTCGGTGCTGACGCAGGGCTGAAGACTCCTGTTCCCTGCAGCAGGCTGGAATTTTATAAATTATGCAAAATACCAATATCGTGGACTAAATGAAGTCTTGGAGGAAAACGCTAAGATTCATTTTAGCTCCTATTTAACAACCTTCTTTTAATTTGCAGTGTTTGTTGAAGTCCCCGGAAAGGAGGGATTATATTTCAAACGCTCACAGTGTGTAACATTTAAATGACCTGTTTGTGTTGCAGCCAATAAGGAAAGAGTTGAACATTTCACTTCCTCTGCTGCTTCACTCATTTTCCTCTTGAATGTTGCTGGTTTGTGCCTGTATGTGGTTTAAACTCCCACAATGTTTGTAATATTGTAAATAAATGAAGCTTCCACTGTAAATCTAGTCTCCTTCATGTCCCACAGTGAACTGACAGGTGCAGTGAGGGAAGGGCGCCACCGTGTGACAGACTAGAGGATTGCAATGTAGCAATTTCAGTTTTCTATAAGGTCGTGGTATGGAGGGTGCAATGTGATGAAATTAAATAAATGTAAATGTCATTAAATGTATCGTTTAATTATTTAATACAATCATTAAATATACAAGCAAACTTAATTAAATGTCATTCTGAAGAGTTTTCTTTATTTAAAAATGCATTTAATTATTTCACTGCGTTTATTTAATTTTGTTACATTCCACCCTCCATGGTATTGTAAATTAAATTTATAAACTTCTCAAAGTTTGGTTTCCTCAGAAGAGTTCTGGTCAGTGGTCCTCTGCAGGAAAAATCCACCCACTTCCACTATCACTGGTGTCCGGGGACCAGTTTTGACTGTAGTGAACTTAATCTGGTGTCACGACTAAGCCTAAGGTCAAAATCCTTGACCTTAAGAGCCTTGTGGGACAGAAACTGTCATTTCATTGATTTGAATCCAGAAATACAGGTTCACCCATCCTGAGACTTTCTTTCTTGAAGATTCAAGTGAAAAGAACACTCTCTTTTTTATTATCATTACTATTTTACAAATGTTGATAATCAAAATGTCTTAGGTCAAACCATTTTAGATGTTGCAGTGAACTAATCTATTTTATTAACTGTGTAATGATTTTTATTCTCATGCAAAGTTAGAACTCATGTCAAAGCTGTTACAGAGTAATTATGCCTTTTCTGATTTCTGCTTTTGAATGAGCAAGTGTACGTTGGTCCAAGGTTGGAGTCAAACGCAAAACAAGTTGTTAGAACGAACTGTCATGTTTTTAGAATCCTCTCAGACGTAAATATAGAGGTTTTGGCACCTGTTTCTAAACTCGCCAAAACAAAACTCTCTCTGTCTGTGAGAACATTTCTGATCTGTTTCATAACAATTCTTGCTGTCTTCTAACCTCTTACGTCACAAAACACACCCCGTCTGGTTGTTTCTGACCAATGGGAATACTCCCAAAAGTGAACCGGGAAAGAGCTCTTTAAAAATGTCGGTACTTCCTGGTCTACTCGGGTTCTGTTGGGTTCAGTTAGCAGTTCTGTTGAAGCTCTGGAGAAGTTCTGTTGAGTTCTGCTGGTTGGAGAAGTTCTGCGGCGCGGACAGTGCTGATATGTCCTAGCGCTGGACAGTTCTGTGAGAGACGGGATGATCCTGACATGACAACAGAGCTCTTCCGAGTTCCATGGGATTATAACATTTTCACTCGCCACTACTTCTGACGATTCACAGCATCCTAAGGAGACGCTGGACAGGTAGCGTTAACGGAGCTCCATATCTGCTGATTAACCTCAGAAAGGTAATGAGTCAAGTTTCCTACCAAGCGTACCGGGGAGAGCTGGGTTCTGATGGAGAGTGTCAATTCTGGTGAACACTTCCCCTCCCATACCATCTTTACTCCCTCTAAACTTCTTTCCCATCTTTAAACTTTTCTATCAAGTAGATATTCTTCCAGATATTTAGAAATGTCTGTGTAAAATGCTCATCCACATCCGTGTGGGTAAAAGATCATAATTGTACAGTTTCATAAATGTCTGTGGTGAAGCAACGGAAAAATCATGGCCGTATGATTTTTCCTGATTGATTGCTTATGTTGTTATTTTCATAATTTGCCAAATTAATGTAAATGTTTGATGTTAAACTTTGATTCTGTAAATAAATGACCGCATTCATTTTGATGGGTCAAATATAAATGACGTCTCACGTTTGCATTTCATTAAATTCAATGCACGTTTTATTCAGTTCAGAAAAATGAGGAATCCGCGTTAATTGATGAATATATCCGAGCATCTGTTCATCTACATGACCATCAAGAACTATAATTCTACAATACAACTTCTTGATGTGTGAAGAGCGGGCAGTAATTCATGCCTTCCAGAACCTTTTGTTTTCATTTTTGATTATTTTATGTTAAGTGAGTTGTAGTCGTTTTGTTGTTAACGATATGTGCAGTCTTGTGTGTTTTATGAAGACCTGCTAAGAATAGGTTTTATGAATGACTTGCAGCTACTCTCACGTCGAATTTTAGCTCAATATCTGTAAAACTGACAGAGTGATTGCAATGCTCGTGTTTGTTGTGGTGTCCATGTTGGATTGGATTGGCTCCAAAAGTTAATCAGTTGTAAATGTATCTTTAAAGATCACTTTCTGTTAGTTTCATTAACATCCATCTAGTGGTTTGTGAGATATTTTGCTAACAGACTATTTGACCCCAAAGTTATAGACAAAGTAAAAAAAAAAAGATTTTGTGCAATTTATTGGAACTCCGATAACATGTTGGGGATCAGTCTCGGCTACTACCACACCGAATTTGATGTTGATGTTTGTCAAAATGACTGAGTTGAAGCCCTTTTAGTGTTTTTGGTTGTCAGTTGGCTGTGGCGGCCATCTTGAATCTAGTTAGCATCACGGGGTAAAGAGTTATAGAAGTACATTAAATGCTCACATTCTGAAAGTGCTATGACAATTAGTCCAGTTGTTCACGAGATAATTTGGTTCTAAACACAAACACGAGCAAAAACATTAAAAAAAAATTAGACGTTTGTTTACTTTTGGGAGAGTTAAGAGCTGAAAATAAAATAGGATTTAAAATTGTTCTCGTAGTTTGGGAAAGTTTAATCTCATGTCAGAAAATACTTTAATCCTCACTTGTGATTTAACAGCTTGTAAAAAAGTCAGGTTTTTTTTATGCAGTAAAGAATTGTTTCATACTTTACAACTCCAGAGAGTCATTAACAACTCTCATCCTCAGTATGATTACTGTCTCGTGTGCCAAAAAAAGTATGACGAACAGTGTGTATATAATAAGTACTATTTACTGTAGTACTATATAGTATGTGTATGTTAACAGGTGACTGATAAACACACTAAAAAGTGCTTTGAATCTTATTTTACAGTTTTACAAGGTGATATTTACGGTTTGCTGACGACAAATAAAGAGGCAGTACAGTCATGTTTTTCAGTGTGAAGGAGTGCCCTGTTGTGGCAATAAAAATCTCTGCATGGGGTTCCTGCAGTGGGCAGGACCTGCGTATGGGCTCCTTTTACAGCTGGGCTCGCTGCAGCAGACACGTCTTTACTGGGTTTTCTTCTTAAAGACACAATTTTTAGATGCGGCTCGTTTGCTGTAGATGGATTTTGTTGAAACCTGGCACTCTTACTTCATTTTTTAAAGCACACACACACTTCACATTAAGAATTGGGCTTAAAATGAGTGAAAAGGCCCCCCCCCCCAAAAATCAACTGTGACAGAACGACTGATCAAAAAAGCTTTAAGAGGTTCCGTCATGTTCATGAGAGCTGATGATGCTGTTCATGCTGCTGTTCGACGTATTGTTTTGATTGCTTTTTATGCTATTAGTGCTTAGTGTATATTTAGTTGATGTTTTTCTTAGTTCATAGTCTTAGTTCATATTTTAGATCTTAATGTTTTTCTTTTATTTTTTTATTGTTGGATGTAACTGGGACCCTGTGTACATAATTTTGTTCCACCACATGTATCACATGTGGTGGAACGACAATAAAAAATCTCTGAATCTGAATAACAGCCTCTTCAGGACTTTGAAGATAAACACTTAGATTCAACCTGATTCAAGATGGCAGCCAACTGAGATTAAAAACGACTATATATATATATGTGTATATATATATATATATATATGTATATATGTATATATATATATATATATATACCTGCTAACAAGACCTGCTAAGCTGCTAACAGAACAGAACTATGATGTTGAAAGAACCTCAATGCTAACTGAATCACACTAGATGTATTTCTTTTTCACCTTTGGCGCCTTGTTTTTTAGTATTTTTAATGTTTTTAGGTAGTAGTATTTTCAATATGTTTTTCTTAGTATGTTAGTAGCATATTTTTTAGTATGTTTTTAGTATTTTTGCTGCATGATTTGATATGTCTTGTTTTTTTGCGAGTCGAGATGGTATCACTCTAATATATATATATATATATATATATATATATATATATATATATGTATATAGTTAGACTGATTCCCAAATTATATTCTGAGATATTGCACAAATCCTTTTTTTTTTTTGATATCAACTATTTGGAGTCAACTGTCTGTTAGCAAAATATCCCATGTACCATAGAGCAAGTTTTAAGTTGTTTTTGTTTGTTTTTTTTTAAATCAGGAAACAATTATTGGATGTACCTCTGTAGCTGATTAAGTTTTAGAGTCAATCCCAAGATGGCTGCCACAGCCAGCTGACGTTAGCACACCATCAAAATAGCTATAATTCAGTCAATTTTGCAAATATTGCGCTAATATTTGGTGTGGTTGTAGCTGAGAGTCATGCACAATCCATCCTCCCAAGTGCTACTCATGGTGCAAGATCTTTATTTAAAAGTTTAGCGTTAACAATTCGAGTGAATACCGTTTGTCTGTTAGCAAAATATCTCATGAATGACTGGATGGATTCTAATTAAACCTTTATTAATAATCACTGGATGTATATTTATATCTGATGACGTTTTGGAGTCGATTCAAATTAAGATGGCTGCTACCGCTTATCAACATTAGCCCATAGAAAAATATCTGTAACCCTGTCATTTTGGAGACGTTGAGCTATAATTTAGGGTGGTAGTAGCTGAGAGTTATACACAATACATACTTTGAGCCTGACATTTTAACAAGACTTACCAGTCTAAACTGCTATTGAAAAGCGTTGCATGCATTCCTGCATGGAATGCTAGGCCTTCATTGTTTGGATTAGTCATTAAGAAAAATGTGAAGAGGTGCGATGTCTAACAGAGACACGCTCCAAGCTGCAGCAGCCGTTCTGTCACAAAGTTTGAAAACGCCAGCAGCGTTCAGAGCCGTTTTATTGCTTTACAAGGTGAAATAAATGGACGACGCAGGAGGTCCAGGAGTGTCGTTTATTATAAAATGACTCGAATTAGTGCCTTCACGGTGCAGCTTTCAGCATGAACTTTGACCTCTCCACCCACAGGAATGTCAGCACACCTTTAGTCAGCATCCAAGCCTGTTGTTGTTCATTGCTTAACCACGACTCTGCAGACTGCGTGGCTCAACGCTGCACGTCAGCAGGATTTCTGATAAAGAAAACCAAAAACAACTCCAACAAACTACAGAAAATGAACGAGCTGCTGCTTCTTTTTGTCTCCGTTTCTGTCCTCCGCTCTGCTTCTTGCTCTTGACCTTATGCCAGTTCCTTTTCTTCTTTTTTCTTTTTTTGCCCTCGCAGCAGCAGCAGCGTCACAAAAAGAACATTTGCGTAATAAAACCTTCAGGCTGAGACATGAAGCATCGCAAAGACGGCTGCCGGGGAAGTGACATCATCAGGCACAAAATTAAAGAAGCACACTTCTTGTGAATACCTCGGCTTTTTTTTTTTTTCCTCCTGTCAGAAACATACACACTTCCATCCACACATCTGATGCCAGTCAGCTGCTTATCAGGCTCAATGGCAGCTGTCTCAACAAGCCAAAGAATGAATCTAGGCCACATTTCAGCAACAGTCTTGGCACGGAGACGAAATGATTTATAGAGCACCTGCACGAGTCTTCATTAACGACACACCTCTTATCAGCTGTGAAATCACAAGTTTCCACTGAATTTTATGGCAGTGATGCTCTAGATTTATCTTAAACGGAGCAAAATAAACCATGCGCATTTTGAATTATTCATTAATTTAGCTGCCACTAAAGGAGTTGGATTCACACACAAGTCCCCGGTCTTTAGTCTGTGCAAGTGGAGTCTAGATCTCAGTAGATCCGTGAAAGAATTCATTTGTCCTGTTGGACTCTTGTACATCAAAACCTCAAGAACAGAGAGTAACGTTAATCATCGTTCACGTGAGCATGCGGGGCGTCTCTTAAAAGGTTTTCCAACGCGATTCAGCTTCAGTCTGTGGGGAAACATCTGGGGTTTTCCAGATGTTGCCAAAACGATTTGAATTCTGCCGCTTCGTTATTCCAAAACGCGAAACCACCGACCCTTGCGGCGAGTCAACAACCTAAACAAAAGAGCCATTTCTGCCCTTTTTCCTCACACGAAATTAATTTATAGAGCTACAAAACCTGCTTGAACCTTGAAATAAAGTTAACATGACTCATTGTCATATAAATATTAAAACCTCCATTGTGGGTTACTTGATTAAATGAAAGCTCTGTAAGAAAGTGTTGGCGTTTCTTACATGTTAGGACAAGAACATGACCAAACTCAGTAAACTCAATAGAACTGAAAATGAATTAACTGCTGAAACGTCTATTCTATTCATTTAGATCTATCCATGTTGTTTTTGGTCTAAGCTACATAATGTTGCTGCAGAAGAACGGAAGAGGCCCGTAGGCCCTAGAGTTGCAGGTGCCAGACCCCTGACAAAAAGTCGCCTTTTTGTAATGCGTTCCCAAATATTATTAGAAGACGAAGCAGGAAAACAACGATTTAAGAGTGAAATCTGAGGAATGTGAGAAGCAACAACAAAAAAAAGTTCAGTCAATACATGGAAGCGCTGGACATGGTTCTGGGTCTGTAGGAGCCTGGATCTCCCTCCTCGCGTTCCTCGCCCAGAGAGTAAAGCCCCGATCTGTGACTCTTCTTCTTTAGGCCCGGGGTGCTCGGCTGGAAGAGTCGGCTTATCGAATGCAGGCTCTTTGAGTGATCCGGCAACGGGTCCAGCTCGTCTTTCTGAAGAACCTTAGAGTGCGCTTGTTGTTGGGCTTTGGGTGCTCCCATCATCTCCCTCACAGTCGGAGAGATGCCTTTGTGCAGGTAGTGGTGGGCCCTCTTCCCGCAGTTGTCCCGCACGCTCGTACTGGCTCCGTACTCCGCCACCAGCGTGGCCATGATGCACTCCTGGTCGTGCAGGGCGGCGATGTGTAACGGAGTGTATCCTCCGTGGGATTTGACATTGATGTCCACGTCCACTCCCTCCTTCCTGGACGCGTCGATAAATTTCATGAGCATGTGGCTGTTCCCAGTCTTGGCAGCCCAGTGCAGAACAGTGAACCCAGACATGAAGTCCTTCTTCTCGATCCGCTGGAAGTCGTTCAGCAGCAGGCCGTAAACCTGATTCCAGTGACCGGCGGCGCAATTCACGAGCCAGTCGTGCTCTGCCTGCTCGAGGGGATACAGGGAGGACCTCTTGGAGTCCACCCTGGCCTCCTCGGACGCCTTCTTCACCGCCCTGCCCGATTCCACCGAGGAAAGCCTCTTCTTGTTCTTGAACGTGTCCACGTTTGAAATCTCAGGAAGCTCGTCCGCCTTCAGCTTGTGAATCTCGACTTTTGTAGCACTGGGTGGCATTCGGAGAGGCAAGGCGTAGGGTCTGCTCTTGTTGGAAGACACCGCCGCCCCTCTCGAACGATTCTCTTTTTCTTGTTCCTCCTTGTTGATGTCAAAATTCAGCGCCCTTTTCATTTTCACATGGTCAGATTTGCTCCTCTGCAGAGCCAGGTGGACCACAGAGGACTCTTCAGGATCCTCTTCAACCTGGGAGGCAGCCGGGCCCCCCTCCTCTGCTCCTCCTGGGTCTTCAGCCTTCTCCTCACCAGTCAGCCTGATCTCTTTACCCTCACTCCCCCCCACGTGACTCTCCTCCTCTCGGAGCAAATGCTTGTAGTTTTTCTTGAGGACAACGCATCGGGCGCCGTCGATCTCTTTGACGAAGGCGACATTGTTGACGAAAGTCTTGAACAGCTCCCTGTTGCGCTCCTTCTCCGCGGGATCCACGCAGTCTACGGAAGCCTTGAACTTGGCCAACAACTCGGATTTTTTCACTTGGCCTCCCTCGGCGATCAGAAGGGAGAGGATGGACTCCTGCGTCAGATCCATGAAAAAAACAAAACCACAACTGGTTTTCTACGAAGTGAGAAGTCTTCAGCTCCACAGCCGTGCTGGTTTTCTGCTACACCTTTGTTCTTCTGATGACAGCTCACCTGGCCGCGCCGCTCCCGAGTCCCCGCCCCTTACCTGAGGGAGGCTGCTTCTGGGGAATGTGCGGACGTGCATTAGGCTCCAATTTGAATAATATGTGCAGGGGATTGCTTAAAAACGAATACAGCTGAGAGTTATTATTATTAATAATAAGAGTGATGATCATAATAATAACAAGAGAAATTGCATTTCTCTTGTGAAAATGCAGCTTATTGCTGAAGAAATGGCTAAAACAGCTGAAATGAGCTAAAAACCTGCTGAAATGTAGCTGAAAAACAAGCCTAAATTAGCAGAAGAAAGCAGAAAGAACACATATTTTCTGAATTATGTTTAAATAAGCAGATATGAGCACAAAATTAGTAAACAAAGTATAATGAGTGGTAGAGTGTGAAGGAAGCGGAAAGAACTGAAATGAGCTAAAAATGTGAAATTAGCTGAAAAAGATCAAATTAGCATAAAAACAGCTAATAGCTGAAATAGCAGAGAAAGCTGAAACTAGCAGAAATAAGCTTAAAGACAAGCTAAAATTAACTAAAAAAATGCTTAAATGTAGCTGAAACGGATGAACGAGCCTAAATTATCGGAAGAAAGCAGAAGAACACAAACTTGCTGAAATAGGTTTAAATAAGCAGAGCACAAAAATCAGAAAATTAGCTAAAAAGGCTGAAATTAGCAAAAAGATAACTGAAAATAAGCTGAAAAGGCAGAGATAAGCTTAAACCAGAAAGAAGGAAAGAGCTGAAATGAGCTAAACAATGTGGAATTAGCTGAAAAAGCTAAGATTAGTGTAAAAACAGCTAAATAGTAGCTGAAATAGCAGAACAAGATGAAACTAGCAGGAATAAGCTGAAAGGACCATAACAAGCTGAAATTAGCAGAAAAAAGTTACAAGAAGCACACAAATGTTAGCAGAAATAATCTAAAAGGAGCACAGAACAGCTGAAATTAGTTGAAAGTAGCTGAAAAATGTTTAAATTTGCACGAGGAAGCTGAAAGAAGCTGAACCAGAACAAAATGTGAAAGGAGCAGTAAAATGCTGTAAACAGGTCTAAAGACAGGAAAAATGAGCTCAATTCATTATGAGGAAAAAAGTGTCAGAAAAGACTAAATATTTCAAAAAGCTAAAGTTTCACCAATGCCAAAAGTCATAGCACCCTCCTGTATGAGCTGAATGTTTTGATATATGATTTGTTGAAATACTGTACAAACATTGTGGAAGAAAGATGCCGAAAAATATACGGAAGAAAAATGGATCACAAAAGTATGAATGCTTCATAAGCATTCACACAATAAATGATCAATGTTCTCAATGTGCACTAATTTTGACCCAGATGACGGCCATCTTGGATTTGGTGGACTCAAAAACTAATCAACTGTAAAATCTGTTTTGTGCTTCATGAACTATGTTGCTAACAGAATGTGTTGACTTTTTATGCCAAAGGTTTTATAAAAGATGTCACACAATGTGTAGCACTCAGAATGACTGTCAGCTAACACCACACCAAGTGTTAATCTCAATATCTGCCATATTGGCTGAATTATGGTCAATTTTGTTTGACTTGAATTGAGTTGGTTTGACTCCAAAAGTTAATGAGTTGTAGATGTACACACGATTACTTTTGGAGCGTTGCATTTAAATCTCTGCAGTGGTATTTGTGATATTTTGCTAACGGACAGACAGAATTGACTCCAACATGTAACAGCAATTAAAAAAAAAACATGTGCAATCAGTCAGGGCTTGGAGTTTGTGTTGGGGATGACTCTCGGCTACGAGCAAACCACATTGTAGCTCAATATTTGTAAATCTGGGCAATTTATAACAATTTGTGTGTTTTCTAAGTTTGCTTAGCTGTGTTGACCATCTTGTAAGAGGTTAACTCCAAAAGTTAAATATGATGATTACTTTCTGTGCATTTCATTAAAATCTGTTGCGTGGTTCCTGAGATATTTTGCTAACACAGCAAGAGAAAAGCACACACAAAAAAAGGGAAGCAGGAGATAACTATTTCTTGAAATAGGCCCTTATATGTGTGTATGTAAATATATTTATGTTTTACAATACACAAGCTTTTGAGTATCGCCTTTTTTTTTTTTACCAAAAGTTTTAAAACAAATGATGACACATTATAATATAGTACACTAAAGGGAGGTCACCTATTATAAATGAAAATGTAAAAAATATGTGTAACAGAATTTGGCACGAGTATTAGTCCTGTGATTGGCTTGGTAGCCTTCTAGTATTATTATTATTAATTATTATTATTATTGATGTGATAAAATAAACACTAATAAGCAACTAATAATGCAGTCAGATATTTTTTATTTAAACCTTTAATTTTCTTTCCTGATAAAATAAAGGTTTAAATAAAAAAAATCTGACTGCATTTTATTAGTTCATAATAATTGTATTTAAACATACATAATAAAAGAGAAGTTTTTATGTCGACAAATCAAGCACTGACGTTTGAGCTCCCCTTATTGTCGCTCTATGGAGCTGTCTGACTATCCTGAAATGAAGAGGGGCGCTGAATGCGCATGCGTAAAAATCGGGCACCACGCCCCAAAAAGGTTCCAAGCTATTTCCGGTCGGCTTAGTCTCCATTGTTTTGGTCCTTTACAGCAGCTTTTTTTTTTTTAAATTGTTTATAATACATAAACATATTTATAAATTAGCTGTATTGGTATTTTACGTTGAAATGTCAAAATTGATCTTATTACGGTTGCTAGAATGAGCGAAGATGAAATCTAGATTCAAGATAGTTATCACACTACTTTAACCCGGAAATAAGTTGTAAATTTTAGAGCGAAATTTAAATTATGCTTGTATTCTTTTAGGTACTTTACATTTATATGTACATTTTAGGTACTGTACATTTATTTTTGAAAAATGAATGTTAACATTAATACAGATTAAAATCTAATTTTAAACGTGTAGCGCTAAGTTAGTGCGCCTGCAACCGAGAGCACTTTACAACAACCGTTACCCCTTAACGCCTTTTTTCAGTTCACTGGTTTTACTGTCAGTTATAAATTGTATTAAAGCAGCTAAAAGTGATTGTTTTAAACATTTGCGTCGACTTTTTAGCCAAAGCAGAAATAAAGCAAAGACATGATGGAGTCCGCTTGAGCGAAGAACAAGCGAAGTTGCAGGGTACTATCTTGTCACCTAGCTGGAGTCCTCTTTTCCTAGCTCTCTGCCTCGTGCCCCATCCTTCCTGTCTCAGTTTGTTTAGCAGGCTTGTACGGAGAGTCGAGGGCTGTTCCCTTTCCCCTCCGCTCAGCACGCCGACACCATACATTCCACACCATGGCTGCCACGGACGTTGACGTATTTTCGGTAAGCAAAATGGCACAGCGTCCTTTATTGTTTGTCCCGTGTTTTAGAGCTGGAAGCAATAAAATCGGTAAAGTACGGCAACGACTTGGTTGTGTTGAACTGTTAGCTGTCGTGTGCGGGTGTTGTAGCTAAGCCTCCCCCGCTTCTGAAGCTTGTTATGCGGGTTCTGACGAGATAGTGGAAATAATTCCTGTGACTGGGTTCATCCTAGAAATTACGAATCACTTGTGACTGCCATTGTTTTAATTAATTAATTTAGTGTCTTAAGATGTTTCTTGTAAAATGCGTCTACTCCCTGCAAGCGTGGCTGGTCATTTTACGTAGCAAGTCCCTCTAATCACAACACATTCAGTTATTAACGCTGTAATAGTAATGCTGTTTAAAGTGGAAAATTTTAAAGTATCAAACTCATTGTTTTACATTATATACTTACTTGAAAGCCATGCATTTTGTTTTGATATTCCAAATTTTTAAATTGCATAAACCTTACAAAAGTTTGGTTGTAGCTATTTAAAGTGGTATAAAATTTATGTTTGATTTGTTATGAAGTATCGCGAGATTACGAATGTACTCTGATTTGAATTTTATTGTATTTCTTCTTTAAAAGGTAGTTTTAAAGGTAGTTGCGCCTAAAACACATTGGGCACTTTTAACTTCAAAACATGTATTTTACCTGTACACCAATTAAAGTTAGGTGCACTAATTTAACATTCCTGGCACTAAATTAATATATACTGTGTACATTGTTGCACATTTAAGTTAAAGCCACACATTTTGTATTTGTTACTTAAATATGCACTTTTTTTTTTTTTTTTTTTTTTTTTTACAAATAGACCAAAAGCTGTATTATTTCTTCGTCCATAAAGTGAGTTTACAAATAAACTTGTGGATCATAGTAAATTTATGCAACACTGTTAGTTTTAGCGAAGCTATATATGTAACTATGCAGTTGTTGGTACTACTTGCACAAAACATGCTGATTTAAATGTCTGCATGTGCTTTTTGTGGTTAAAAGCTCTTAAAGCAAAATTAAAGACAATTAAACTGTAATTATACATTTGAACACCAATTCTGTGGAATTGCTTCTTTTTGTTCTTGATTAGACTTTGCAAGTTTGAGTACATTTAATTTGTTTCAACCAAATTACACATTATCAGGTAGCAGTGTTTTACTGTGTTAACATTGGGTATTATTAAAATATGCAAACACTTTGAGTGACATGAATCATTGGTTAAACAAACACTTTCATAACCCAAAATAGTTTGTTTCCACTTAATAGTATTTTGATATTTTTTAACCAAGATGCTCCGTTATAGGGGCGATGGTAGCTAGGTGGTTATTGTTGGAGTCTTATTATCCTAAGGTTTTAGGATCGGCATTGGTTTCATCAAGAGTGGCATCCATCGTAAATTAAAATTGCCAAATCTTTCATGCGAGTTTGCTTGGTGTGGTGACGCCCCATGAATGGAGCAACCGAAAGGCAAATAACATCCAGATTTCCAGTAGGTGTAGTCTTTCTTTATTAAAGATAACAGAGATTGGCACACTTTCAGATTAAAGTGGAACTAATCTAGTATTTTCTTTGTAACAAACCATGTCGTCAGTCAGGTTTGACCTTGTCTGAGCAGTTGAGTGGGAGAATAGAGGTTTTTGAAAACAAGCGCTCACACTTAATAATAGGAATATGCTAAACAATTTTGTAGTGCAATGGCCAGTAGATTGGAGGGGGATTTAAAGAAGAAGATTAACTTTTTGGCAGACACTTGAAAGGGTCTCTGAATTGGACATTAGGCAGCACTGAGATCCAGGGATAAAGAGATTAGGTACATGCCCAGGGCCACTCCTACTACTTAGTGATGGAACACGTCTTCAAGGAAAGGAAAGGATCTAAAAACGAGGATGCAGCTGATACTGCACACTTGGCATTCCCCATTTAGGAACGGGTCCAACATGGAGCACAGGATTTTGTGGACTGCTGTATTTATTTATTTAATATCTCTTTCTGAATACAAACTAAGACGATTGATTCATGAGAAAAAAATGCTGAGAATGCAGTGAAACAGGCCAGTGTTTGCAGCAGCACAGCTGCCTGGCTTCTTAACTTTCTTAGCTAAGTGAGACCGCATTGAACAAATTGTCATGCACTCCTGGACGTTTGTGTAAAGGGAGCACTGTTGATTATATGCACAGCTATCAATGGACACGTGTGGTTGGTTTGACTGTTGGCCCCCCATCGATCCTGTTTGATGGAGACTGTAGCTTTGGGATGACTTTTTAGGCCAAATACAGATGAGGAGATCATTAAAATCAACTGCCCAATATTCTTTTTTTAATTGTTTTCACTGACTGATTGCATCAGATTGTGTAGCAGAAAGCAGTGCTGTTTAAGTAGTTATGTAATAAAATGCCCTGCAACATATTTAATCATGTACAATGCTTACTGACCCTGAAGTGCATTGCCTCTCCCTTGAGTCCTGCATGCATCAAATAAAATTAGCTTCATGGAGTGCTTAAAGACTAAAGACAAGGAATGAGGAAGTTTTTATGTTTTCTAGTTTGGGATCTTTTCTAAGCTCAGTTGGAATTTGTTCATTTTTATAGCATAAACAGGAACATCACATTTCTCTTGTAGTGTATGTCAGATTTGAGTTTTTTACCAACTTGAGTGTCATGTTTTGTTAGCTGCACAGAGAACATACAATCCAGAGCTGCCTAAAGGCAAACTAGTCAACTCCAGTAACACAGATGGATAATGACAGTCAAACAGCTGCTTTGATGATAAGTCAGTATCCATTTAAGTTTGAATTTTTTTTATTTTTATCAACTTAAGCCAAAATTCCTACCAGGATAGCCTTGACTAAACCAAGACTTTTTTCTCTCGATGCAGTTTCATCAAACTTTTTCTGGTAAAATCAAAAGCCGAAAACTGACGTAGTTGGATCACATTGCTTCGGGGCTCAGGATGTTTTTACAACCTCACAAGAGTTACACCCAGCAGATTCATCATTTATCTTATTTAAAGCTGACCCTGCAACTCAAAATGCCCTTATGTACTGTAACTCGCTCCATGTATGGCATTTTGCTACTCTCAACTCCCATTGGTTCTGCACCACACCGCACCAGCTAAGGGCCTGCCCACTGCCGGTACCCACCCCTACTCGGCCCCCCGGTTTATGGGACCATCTTGTTTGTGGTTCCAAGCAAACTGCTTCCTTGTGACGATTTTTACGTAAGCAGTTAGCAGATGTTGATTGGCCAGCAGAGCTACGTCACTGGATGACCCGCGCAGCACATGCATGTCAACTCTTATGGATTTTCTGTAAATTATACAGTTTTTCTCCCTTTTTTCAAGGCTACAGACGTACAGAGAAACTCATACTGATTTTTCAAAAACTCCAGATTTATTTTACGTTTCAGAGCCAACCCGTAAACAAATGCTAAGGTCACCCCTCCTCTCCCTCGTCCTTCTTGCTCTGCCCTATCTCTGCTGCGGCAGCCAACCCTCCCCGTGTTATCATGCGAGACTTCTTTGATTTTTCTTCTGAATTTTACAGATTCCTGAAAGTTAGTACAGATCCGATCCGAAGGTGTTGACATGTATGCCAGCAATAACTGCTAATTACATCTGACCTGCCATTTCCCCTCCAATCTTTGTAGAGCGTAGGTTAGTTAATGTGCTTTTTCTAGTTTTTTGTTTAGTATGGAAGCTCCAAAGATAGTGCCGTGGACCAATGACGAGGTCCAGACCGTTCGGTTTTTATTGGCAGATCACAGGATTTAGAGCGAGCTGGATGACGCTACAAGAAACAGCCGACTTTGCATTGACGATCCCGCCCACAGGACAAGGGAATCAAGTCACAGTGGCAATTCACCTACACCTGAGAAGAACCGATAAGACGAGAACCAAGTGGAGTCGCACGTATTAATGGCAAAGCGGCTAGACATTATTGATGTTTCTTTGTTAGCTTGAACAGGAAACTGCTATCAGTGTTTCCCCTACTGTTATACAAGAGGGGTGCCCCACCCCGTCAACAGAAGTGAGCACCCCACCTACCAAATTGAACTTGTATGTATGTTCAAATACACAAACAAAATCTAGCTTTCATCGTGTTCATCCAGACAGTTATTTTGCAATTAGTTTTGATGGATGATAAAACGGAAGATAAACTAAACAGCAGTATGATTAAAAAGGGTATGTATGTATTACTTTCCTAATTTATCTATCCATCTATCTATCTATCTATCTATCTATCTATCTATCTATCTATCTATCTATCTATCTATCTATCTATCTATCTATCTATCTATCTATCTATCTATCTATCTATCTGTCTGTCTGTCTGTCTGTCTGTCTGTCTGTCTGTCTGTCTGTCTGTCTGTCTGTCTGTCTGTCTCTGTCTGTCTGTCTGTCTGTCTGTCTGTCTGTCTGTCTGTCTGTCTGTCTGTCTGTCTGTCTGTCTAACTTATATTTATCTATCTTATATCTATCTATCTTATATCTATCTATCTTATATTTATCTATCTTATATCTATCTATCTTATATCTATCTATCATATATCTAATATATATATATATATATATATATATATATATATAATGCTTTTAGAATTCATGTGAATAGTGTATATACATGAATTGCACATTACTGTACTTGTGTTTTGTACGACTTTGGCTTAAAAACGTATACCATTAAAAAAAAAAAATCAGTGACAGGAAGGACAGTGAATATTTTCCAGATGTTCGGTCTATGGTGCATCTGCCTCATAAAATGGTTCCCGTTTCTCCTCCATCTCCCTATTTTTTTCTCCCTCTACTGTTGGGTGTAAGTTGAGTGATAAAGCTAGGCAGTAATGTGATGGCACAGTTGAAATGTTTGTGTGAATCAAGAGGTGGAGCGAGTGTATCTGAAATGATTAACAAGAAAAAAATCTTGTGTTTGTGGATTCCTGATGGCCTAAATGACGCAAGAACCTCAACCGTCAACATTTTTGCCATTACA